CATGACAAGATAGCTAAAGATTGTAGCCAAGATCTTAGCTAACAGTTTGCAGTTTGTCTTTAGTCTGAATGACCATCAAACAGATACATGTCATAAAGGGTATGCTTAATCAAGAGAAAAAAAAATGTCCCTAAAGATGCACTAATCAATTTAGATCAGTCCAAAGCATTTAATAGGGCTGACCATAAATTTCTGGAGACTGCCCTGATATTGGTCTGTATCAAACCACATGTTTGCTCTTTGTATACATCCCATAGTGCAGTTGAATGGAGTAGAATCAAAACCTTACATGTTCTCTATATCAAAAAGAGGTACATTTTTGCTGTTAGAGCCTTTCATTCTCAAGTTATAAGGTGGGGTCCAATCTTATGCAGTATGGTACCAGATAGTGATTTGTAGAAATTGACAAATATCAGTGGAGAATTCAGAAAAATCAAATAGTAGACTAAGATCATCTGTGATAAGTTTGTTGGTCTATGACTGAACGCATGGAAAAGAATTTCTCTTTCTTGACCCATTAGTTGGACAGATAAGCCAAGCAAGATACTCGGCATCTTGTTTTGGTCCCAACCTTTAGCAGGAGAAGAAATCCTCAGAAGTACTGAGAAAGTCAAGACCACAGTTCATCTGTTGTCTCAGAGGAACCTTTATTCAAAGGAGTGGGCAGAAGTAGGTGCTTTACACACTCAGTTTTCCCACTCCTGTGCATCTGGGTGATGGGAGGTCTACTGTCACTAATTGCCTGAATATGGCCTGGTTAAACTGAACATAAACCACACATTATTTCTTTAAGTGAATGAATATGTAAGAGGATAGAAACAAAATTCTTCAAAGAAAATGCTAAGAATGGCTTTCTGGTTTTGAAAAACATGCACTTTGATGAGAGGAATGCCTGCTGTTGGTGCTAAAATAATGCTTCTGTTGCATTGAATGGCTGCTCGGGTGTCAAAGATTACTTGTCTGGTATCAAGCTACTTTAGACAAAGTTGAAGGTGGCATTCAAAAGGATCTGATTGGGATCTCAGCTTGACAAAACAGGAGCATGGGTTTTGTGTGCCTCGGTTGCAAAATTTTGAATGTGTGTTAGGAGATTCTATGAAAAAGTTCAGACCAGCCAAGCTTTATATTATTTTTTAACTAGAGGGTGTATGCTTATTGACCCGAGTTTTTTGGTCCCCCCCCCACTTCCAAAGTAATAAAAATTGAATTCCCTCCTCAATAGGATGGGAGAAAGTTTACAATGCAGGATTTTTTTTTTTTTTTGCATTTAAGTTTCTATTGTGTGTGTGTGTGTGTGTGTGTTTGTGTGTGTTTACATCTATTGTTAGATATATGGTGAAATTTTGGTCACCTTGTTATTTCTGAGATGAGTTATTTATACCATATTGGACTATTGTCCTCATCTTTGTTTTGTTATCACAACGTTTTGGCTGTTGTGCCCTTTGGCCTTCTTCAGGTGTATAACAATCTGGGTAACCTACAGGGAATTCTGAAGTGAACCCTTTATTTAATTTACAGAGGTATACTTCTCATTCCATTGCTCATGTCAGGATATAGTCTAGTTCTTATTTTTATTTAGTTATTGCTTGCTAGTTTCCACTGAATGCAAATACACACTGCCTAACCCAAGGATTGAACCCTTAGTCCTTGTTATTTGTTCATTATTATTTACTTTTCTACAATGTCAGCAGAGCGAGTATTGGCTAAGGAGTATCATACAATCAGATTGCACTCTGATAGAGACACTTTTTAAGCAAGGTCTCCATTAGGCATCAAACAAAAATGTTTAACCAAAACAACACGTGTATGTATTCACTATTGTTGTGGTAAAACAACAACTCAACTGATAATAGCAGATAGAAAATGCGAGGAGGGTAACCGACAAAATAGTGTCACACATCCCAGTGCTCAGAAACAAAAACACGCCTGCTTTATACAGCTAAAGACCGACCATGAATGCATGCTAATGACGAGACAACGAGATTTTGTGTTAACTGTCCGAGACTGCCTGGCATAAAACATGGGCGCCATTTTGGTTCTTTTTCACCACTGAGCAACCGGAGTTTGCACGATGCACAGATTCGTGGGTGTTTCCGAGGTAGGCCATTTTAACAATTTTCTCCACAACTATTCAGCCATCAACTACTAATGTGGATAAAAAATGGGTGTTTTAATAATCTACCAAAGGCTGCAAAATGACAAATATTAAAACTTGGAATGTTCAAACACTCCTCAAAAGAGGTGAAACTGAAAATCATTTTTTCTAAAATGTGTGTGTGTGTGTGTGTATATATATATATATAATAAAAAAGGAAATTTTTTAATTGTACATTTCTGAAAATAATTTTACCTCTTATTATAAAACAAGGAAAAAAGAAACAAAAAAACAACATGGTAGTATGTCATAGACGCATTGTGAGAAATGTAATTAATAGTTTTTGTGAAAGTAAGTAAATAGAGTGAACGGGTCACTGATTGTGAGCAACTAAATTTTGTTTTGCTGCATTCTTTTTGCACATTTTAAAAACAAAAATATTAAAGTGGTGTCTGGCCTAATTTTAAAAGTCTGAAATAAAATGTCTTTACTGCAAAAAGTTGATTGACTTAATACAAATAATAAAAATTGTAATCTTTTTGTTACACAGAAAATAATATTCAGAAAAATCACATTAAGACATTTGTTACACATACACATTTCATATATGTGCGTACAGGGCGAGGTCAAAATAACTCCCACATGACAAGACAGGCAATGGGATCTTCAAGCTAATGTCTTACCATTATGTGGGAGATATTTCTGCCACACCCCATGTGTGTGTGTGTGTATATATATATATATATATATATATATATATGTGTGTGTGTGTGAATTGGGATCAAATATGGATTGAACTTTAGATGATGAAATCATGCATTGGATTGCTAAGGCTACCAGTGCTTTCAGCAAACTTCGTCATCGCTTGTGGAAAGAGTTGGGTATTCAACTGGATATGAAAATTCGGGTTTACAGAGCTGTTGTCCTTGCCATCCTTTTGTATGGCTCAGAGTCATGGACTCCATACAAGTACCATATATGCCAGCTGGATGTTTTCCTTAAAAGCTGTCTGCATGCCATCTGTGGAGTTAACCTTCAAGATAGGACATCTAACATAGACCTGGTTAACAGGTGTAATATTGGAGGAATCGAGATTTTTCTTATACAGTCTCAGTTACGGTGGACTTATAGATCTTGAGAATCTCTGATGACAGGATAACCAAGATCCTAATGTACAGCCAGTTAGATCGATCAGGGCTACAGGAATGTAAGACGCCCATAGCTAAGATACGAAGACAAGCTGAAGAGCAACTTCTCAGCTGTCAATATAGCTCATAACATCTTTGAGTGCTTAGCTTTGGAGCGGATGGAATGGAGATAAACGTGTTTTAGTAGACTCAGCAGTTTTCAATCAGCTTGTCTGAATTGTCTTCAAGAAGCAAGAGCAAGATCTAAAAGGTCAGCCAATCTAACAGTGATCTCATCCCATAATCCTTACTCTTGCTCTATATGCAGCCTCCTTTGTAAATCACTAGGGGGTCTTAAGTGCCACTTAAGATTATCACACAAAGTTTCATAACTGAATCAATTAAGTTGTCAGATCCTCTTATGTTGAAACTGACAGGAGAGTCCATTATCTGTGTGTGTTGTGTATATATATATATATATATATATATATATATATATATAGAATTCTTTACGGAAAATCAAGAAAATTTGACATCTCTTTAGTAAGAGATTTCATTTAATTAGATTATTCCTTTTTAATAAAAAATAATGGTTACATTTTTTATATAAATTTAAGATTTGTGTTTTTATTTATTTGGTGTGACATGTATATCACACTTTTTATTGTAGCAGAAGCTATTTTTCAGCAATGCATTTTGTGAGTCCAAAATTTCTGTTAAATTTACATGAAACATTTATATGTGAAATTTGTGCTTTTTAACATTTTAGCTTATAACATAACTGATTATAACAATTGGAATATTAAATACATAAAAATTCAACCACAATTTTGATTTTATAAATGCTACACTCATAAAAAAAAAAAAAAAGGAAAATAATTCACTCAGAAGGAAAATCCTCAAGTGTACCGCCATTGAATATTATCTAGATATTAATTTAATCTACTCCCAGGTTTTTTACCCAATATCACCTTTCCTAACAGAATCATTACTCTCCCAAGCCAACATACACAACAAATATATCAAGAAATCAAAAGAAAACTGTTGAATCTGTCAATACAACCATACAAACAATATTTCTACATGTGAAAATATTCTCTTCAAACAAAGTAATTGACATAATGTTTGTATGAATATACAATAGAGTTTCTTAATTCTAGTTGCTAATGACATATTGTTTATGGTTTATAGATACTTATTTTGATAAATTCATTTCATTTTTTGCCTTGAAAAAGTCCACATTACTAGTTTTCCTATTGTCTTTTCCCTTAACACATCGTATTTTGTGTAAACAGTTCATGGATTATGATTTTTGCAGGTTGTTTAAAAATGTATCTATTTTTTCAATAGATTGTATGGAAAAAATCATATTTTCTTGAAGGCATCATCCTAGGTAGGTTGTAGGCTTATCGTATAAGCTGATAGTTTATAGGTGACATTTCCTCATATAAACAATTATTTTCTAATCCATCTTGCTTCCTATACTATGCCTAGTTGTGGTTTAATGTCATACCCAGGACAGAATCAAACTTATTTTGTGAAAAACCCATGATTGCAGTTTAATCTCATGCCCAGAATGTGGATGCAAGTGTTGATCACCTAGTGAGAATCAAGTTTACTATACAGTAGTAATAGTATGACAGATTAGTGTGGTAACCATTATTCCATGTTGAAGAACATTTTTTGATTTATATCAATTAGGGGTGGACTATATATTTTCTGTCAAGTAAATTTTTTTTTCAAAATTAAAATTTCAATAAAAAGTCATGCATACATACCTTAACAAATGCTTGAGTTTTAAAATTATTTTCTTTGTCTTTTAAATAAAGTGGGTTAAACCATTCCAATAGGGAATGGTAAAGTCCAAAACGGACAGAGGTCTTCTTGACTGCTTTAGCAAGTTCACCTTAAAAAAAAAAGAAAGAAAAGAAAAAATATGTAGGTAAGTGCACATGAAGTGATGATGAAAAGTTTTCTGCCTGAAAAGTGATCCCTTTCAACTTTGAGAGATCATTTGAATAGATTTTGGAAAGTGAGATGTGTCAAGTACTGGCCAAACTCGCTTCACACACACCTTGGTCTGGCTTAAAATTTTTCAACACACTACTTGGGTGAGAGAGAGAGAGAGAGAGAGAGAGAGAGAAAAAAAAAATAAAATTTTATAGGACTGGAGCACTGGCCTGATATGTCCAACTTTTCCTACATTTATCAACTGAGTTTATGGTGACTGCTGAGCTGTAGCTTTTAGCAGCCAATGTATGTAATTAGATAAATTGTCTAAATCAGAGCAGGGGGTTTCAATATCTCGATTATTTATCCAGAACAGTGCCAAGTAAATGTAAATAAAAACAGGCTTGACTAAATCTTGTGTTCTGTTCCTAGATTCCGTTTCCTTACACTGACAAATGCTACACCACCTCTGCTGAATAAAGATTCCTAAAATAAATATATTAGGGAAAAAAAAAAAAAAAAAAAAAAAAAGGAATGTGCAAACTCTACATTCAAAACGAACATTAAGGCAAAGAAGCCAGAATTTTCCACAACGTTAACAGAAAGTGATAATGACAATCATCATAAAAATTGGTGTGGTTTTATTTTTAGAGAAGGAATATTATTTTCTTAATTTTACATTAGTGTTTGAAGATGAGGTTGGCATAATGGTTATTAATGTGGAAAATGGAATAAATTAGACAAGTTCAAAGTCTGGCCAAGCTGCTTGTGTTCACTTTGTATTAATGCCTTTATGAAAAATGATGAATTCATTTCTTCTACCCAAAGTTATGAATTTTTTTAGCTTTAATAAGTCAACTAGTCTAAGAGAAGGATAAATGAATTTAAAAGAAGGGTGGATTAACTTTCCTTAGACAACCATTGCCAATGTAGTCTCTACAGTGTCCTTTTATGATGGTGTTTAATTACTAGATGTAGGCATACAACCACAAAATGATTAGAATTTAAAAAAAAGAAAAAAAAAAAAGAAAAAGGAAAAAAAAAAAAAAAAAAAGAAAGCCTATCCATCCATTTCTTATCAGGTGATTAAAAGGCATAGATACTCACCAACAAGGTCTCTGTGTGGACCGACATCCATGGAATTCCAATTCCAGGAAACTTTGGATGGCCAATTTGTGAAGCCTTCATGATGTTTGCTTGTTAGAACAACATATCTGTACAAAAAGAAAATTAGAATATCTTCATGAAAGATATTTAAAGTAAAAATTATTAATAAAAAATAAAAAGTAATAAGATCTGTATGCAATAATATTTAAATTAACTGTTTATAATCTCCATTGCCTAATAAATGGGTTAGAAATTTCTTGCAAATTCTTCATCGAAGAGTTTTGTCAAAACAATTTGGTACAACCAGCACGTGTTCTAATGCATATGTTGAGGTGTGTCTGTGTGTGTGTGGGGGGGGAGGGCAGCATAAATTATACAAAACTAAGTTGCAAGTGTTGTAAGAAGTATTGATAAACAAAAAATAAAACGGTATAAAGTATTGTATCTAGCACCAATAACAATCAAAAGATAGTAGCACTAGTCTAACTAAATCAAAGTATAAACAAATATTTGTTTAAAATAGCAAAGAGTAAGTTTTGAGACTCAATTTGTACCTTGAAAAATCAGGAGTAAGAATGGGATTGTTAGAGGTTAGGAATTAAATCAAGCATTATTGAGAGAATAAAGACATATGTATAATGCAAATGTATTGCTAATGATTTTAGAAGAGAAATAGTTAAAAAAAAATCAGAAAGAAAGGAATTGTCTGTGGTCAGAAAAGAATACAACATTTATAAGCAATTATTTAAAATTCTAAATACATTTCTTTTTCTTCAACATTATACATACAGATTCATATTGTAGTAATAAATTGCAGAATAGAGGTTACATGATTCCTAACCAAAGATATGAATTACTTTTTTTTTAATCATTTCACTCCAAGCAAGACAATAAAGCCACTAAGACACAAGGGGTTACTGAGTGTTACAGAACATGAGACCGGAGAAAAAAAAACAAACAACACCATTAAGGAAAAAAACCCCAAAAAAGACTATTAGCAAAGAACTTATGTTTACATCTAGCAGTTATTTCAACTGTAAAATGATGAGACCTTGCTGCTAATCTAGTACTGTGCTTAAATTCATGAAGTCTTGGTACCATAGAGGAAACTTCATCAAAACATTTACCATGAAAGTAAGTATAGAAAAGGCACAAGGAAACCATATAAGTGTTAGGAAAGTGACTGAAGCTGAGATCCCAGGCCAAGACCAATAACATTGCAGATTCTTTAGATTTTATCAAGAATCTCTAAATATATAGCAGGAGTACCAGACTAGATTTGGCAGCACCATTTAAAGCAAGAACAAATGGTAGACGTATAAATATAATTTCAGAATTTTATATTATGAATATGGCTATCCATGTATAGAAATCTAATAAATATCCACTAAGTTGTTTGTTGCCCCAGGAAAGAAATGCTATTTGACAAATGACAAAATTGTGGCTATGATTTAATAAATTTTATATTATATTGGTTTATTCTGTCAGGTTTAATTAATCTAGTCATGCTCAGCATAAAATCTGGTATTAATTATAGGTTTCCATCTAGGACCCACTTAAATTCCTGCAGTCAAGATACCAAGATGAGAGCTCATTAGAAAAACTGTCATGAAAACATTTATAGAAAAGTCAAAGGGGGAGGGGGTTCATGTCATTGTGATGGGAAAGTAACTGAAGTGAAGATGCTGGGTCAGGATCAATAACATTAGTTTTATGACTCAACGAATACTCATCACTTTCATAATGCTTGTTGTAGTAGAGACTTTGTAATTGCAGATACATCTATAGTAATGCCATTGAACAATACTGGTATCAGACGTCTTTTAATAGCACTTGCTCAATAATACTCATCGAAAAATAATCACCGAATAGTGATCTGAATATAGAAATAGTATAGTGAATAGAGTAGAGAATAGCAGTCCATATAGTAATAGTGAAAAGAGTAGAACTAACGATCTGAATAGTATAGAGGATAGACTAAAATATAGCGATCAATCTAGATGTCATGTGACTTCCTATATATGAGTTTCCTCTATGGTCACGTGGTCTATTTAATTCAATAATATGATCGCCTATGTTTGCTCACTGGGTGATCTATGTTCAAAAAGTGTTGGCAGCGACACTTTATTCCTGTATAACAATGAAACTCTTTGAATTTTGTTGAGATATATAGCCAGTGCATCAGCCAGATATGGCAGCAATATTCGATGCATGGACAAATAGTAGATTTATAAAGATAGATTCCAATGAGAAGTTATCTTGCTCAACACAGTGAACAAACTTTCCTAGCAGCAAAACTAGCAAATGATTCAGTATAATCAATCCACTATAGCCAGTAGAAAACATGACACCAATAAGGTGCTATGAGTTCCTTTCCTGGAGGTTAGCATCAGTCATGCTAATGGATGGCAAATATGGTTTGCTATGATGATTAAAGAATAGTTTTGTTTTGGAGGTGCTAAAAATTACAATCCATTTCTTGACCCAGTTAACAACTGATTGGGAGTCATTTTTGAGAGCAGCTGCCTGTTTTATTTGGTCAGAGCATGATCAGCTCATTTACAAAAGGAAATGAACTTTTTTTTTTTTTTTTTTTTGGACTTCATTTTTTTCACCTGTTTTTTTCTATTTCCTATCTTTCCTTTTTACTCTTTAGGTGTCTTTTTTCATTCATCTTTTTGACATTTCCCATTCTGCTACGTTCTTGTTACTTTATAACTAACTTAAATTGTCAAGGAAAATATGTCACCAAAATATTGATAAGTTTTTTTTTTTTTTTCAAAGCAATTCACCCCAACCAAGGTGGGAATGCCACTAGCATGCAAGGGGTTACAGAGGATTGAAAACAAGAGTAAAGAGGTGTGTATGAGGAAAGGACACAGAGGACATGGAACAAGCTCAGGGTGTCAGATGTCGATTGACATTACACTTGAATATTTGAAGATTATAGTCATCAGGGAATCAAGTAAGGGAGTTCCACAGACAGGAAGTGCAAGAGAAGAAGCTGTTTGAGTAGAATAAATGGCAATTAAATAAAAGATATCAATTTTCTCCAGATCAAGACTAGGAGACTAATTTGTTTTGTCATTTTTGTCAATTTTTTTTTTTTTACTGAATACTTCATTAACCTTTTTATATCTCATGTGTACTTTTTAATTTGGTAGGTGTTCATCCAATTTTTTTTTTACAGTTATATAAAAAAGAATTCCTAAACATATTTCAGTAAAAAGTTTACGCAATATCAAGTGATAACATAATGGAAAATTCTGCCCACATCTTACCAAAAATAATTCAATAAAACTAAAAATCTTTTTGAGAACTGGTGCTTTTACTAATAACATTTTCTTTTTGATTGGTTGGGGAACTTAGTCGTAATTCTTTGGTGTTCTTTTGAAATTCATCCATGTGTTCATCACAAGAGTTTCTTTTATTAAACAAAGACAGGTTTGAAGATTTAAAAAAAGAAAAAAGTTTAATGCCATTTTCAAGTGTAAACCTTTAAAAGAATAGTTTAATTTTGGTATAGAAGTACAAAAAGGACATAAATCTGGTATCTTGCATTGATTGACTACTATTCAATACCGGAAGAGTATTATGATTTCATTTCATTTCTTCTGCTCAGTCAGCATTGTTTGGTTTCTTTAATTGGTACAGATACTGTGTGTATGTGTTTCCCTGTATTAATTTACAGATAAATAAATACAAGAATAACCAATACAGTTCAGTAATTAAACAAAAGTTGTTATTTTATGTTAAAAACAAATCTGTCTTATTTTTTTCCCTGCATAATTTGTTCCCTTCGCCACAAAGAAAATTTTCAGAATTATGACAAAAAACTATTTCATTTTTGCAATGCTTTAAGTCTTTAAGTACGTACCTCCATGAGATCAAAAAAAAAAAAAAAAAAAAAAAAAAATCAGCATGTCGTAATGAAAACATGCTCCAAAAACGTAATGACAACAGTTTTATCGTCAAAATCTTTATTATCAAGAGGAAGGATCAAAGTATTTTTGATTATTTTTTTTTTTTTAAACTCTTTTTTAACATTCGAAATTTTGATTAAAGAAAAAAAAAAAGAAAAAAAAAGAAGATTGTTGCTGTTGCATTGGCACTTGTACTTAACTTTTTTTTAGCAGAGCAAATTTTCGCCCCTGTTTTTGCGGTGACAAACACATTAATTTAGAAATTCTTGCAAGAATCAAATTCAAATAATTCCCGGAGTTTAATGAAATTTTCATAGCTTATTCACAAATGAATGAAATTATTTTTGAAATAATTTTATTAAATCTTGGGGGGGGAAAAAAAAAAAAAAATTATTTCTACAGGTGTTCCTCCTCCTTTTACTTAATTTTTAGTGACTATATTAGTTAAAAGCCGAATTTTTTGAAGAATTTAAATCACCGATTTTATTTTGCAAAATTCGACCTGGTCTTACTGAAAATCTGTTCTGAATTGAAAAATAAAGTTAAACCGAAACGCAATAAAACTAAGACATTATTTAACTAGAGAAGCTTTTAATTGCTTTTATGAATAATACAATAATATCATCTGAGGAAAAAAATTGATGAAAAATGAATTTTTACAATATTTGTTTTCATTTTTTTTTTTTACAATATTTTATAATTTAAATTTTAAAATTTGATAAATTAAAGTCTTTGAATTTGTAAAGTTCAATTTCGATGAGATAATTTTTAGGGAATAAAACTATATTTACTAATCAAAGCTTATTACAATACGAAAACTACGACTATTTTTAAAAGAATTTTGATTTTGTTTTTTTGTGTGATATGCTCGCATAATGGATGTCCAAACCTAATGTTATCATTAAAAGGTCACCTGTTTTAAAAAAACAAAACCCTAATGAAAATTGACGTCTGCTTCCATAGATAATTATATTGACGTTCAGCGGTCAATTCGCCGTCAATAAATCGATTAACGACACATCAGAAAAACAAGACCACCTGGTTAGGAAATGATTGTATGCAACATTTTAAAAGTAATATTTGTTTCAAATTAGATTATTAACCTAAATTTAAATTTGCTATTTTTCCTGAAATAAGGTTCCTGATTTTTGCAAGATTTAAAAACGGAAAATTAAGTTTTGTTT